AAAACGTTTTTCAGTAAAATATATTTTTAATGAATACAATTCCGTGTAATGAGAAACACAAACAAATACATACGTGACCGAGCTTTGTGCTTATCTAGAGAAGTATTTAATTTCGCAAATATGCGGGATGGTTCACGTAGCAACACAAGAACTGAATACGGTATCATAGGTTATTCTTTTGTTTTTACTATTATAAGCCAGTTTTCGACTACTTTCCCATTTAATGGTAAGTGGTGATGCAGCCGAAGATAATAAAGTACCATGGGACTACATGAGCTAAACGCAAGTTTTATATTGCCTTAAACTATATGATCCAATGCAGTAAACTAAATCAGAAAAATATATGATATTTTTTAGTATATATATATATATATATATGCTAGTTAGATAGTGTGTTAAAAACATGATACTACTAATTTGATGGAAAAAAAATCATAAAGATACCTCTAAAAATTTTTTTTAACGAGTAAAAACCATACTAATATGCTGTTAATTTTGTAGTGAAATTAACAAGTGAAACTGCCTAGTAACGCCATCTATACAGTACAGACTCAGATACAATGTGAAAAAGAGCGAGTTTATGATGTTCAAGGCGGGAGTGAAATCCCGACCATGTGCGACTACCTTCACACTCAACAACTCACCTCTAAAGCGTGTCTCACATTTTAAGTATCTGGGTCACTGGGTCACCGAGGATCTGCGTGATAATATGGATATCGAGCGAGAACGTAGGGCGCTGTCCATCAGGTGTAACATGGTGGCCCGTAGGTTTGCTCGTTGCAGTAGGCAGGTAAAGATTACTATTTTCAAAGCCTACTGCCAGTCTTTTTACACGGGCAACCTATGGGTTAACTATACGCAGCGGGTGTACAGCGCGTTGCGTGTCCAGTATAATAATGGGTTTAGGATGCTGATGGGGCTGCCGCGCTTTTGCAGCGCGTCAGTAATGTTTTCTGAAATGCGCACTGATGGTTTCCACGCCATTATTAGAAAGCGTGCTGCATCGATGCTGAAACGTTTGCGTGGCACCTCCAATAGCTTTCTCAACACAATGGCAGATAGATGGGACTCGCCGCTGCTTGAGCGCTGGATACGGCTACATGCCACGGTATAAGTCACCGGTACCCTCGTGGCGGCTGGTCTCAAACATCTCCATTTACATTTTACATTTTGTCATCATTATTTATGTAAATTAATTTAATTACTAACACTATAATTTAAGTTTTATTTCATTTCACTGTTACTAGCATTCTTGTATGGGTCCTGTGTTGCCTGAAATAAAGATATTTTATTTATTTTTATTTATTTAAAGGTCTACTATTCTATCATTCACCCTATAGCTATGTAAAATGTACCTAACCTACCTATGTAAAGCTATATAGAAATAAAAGTTAGTCTGTTCCAAGCTATTCAACTCGTTTTATTATATACATGCAAATGTTTTGATTTTTTGTTAGGTTACACAGTAACGTAATAGTGTTTTAATTTTTCAATCAAATTACTAGATTTTTTTTAAATCGCATTTTCTTATTTTCTGTACCGGATGTGTGCGTAAACGCCTGTGTACCGATACTTACACATTGGAAATACTAACTTCCGAGTTGATATTTTCAACTTTATCTCTCCTGTAATATTTTTACAGGAATTACATTTCAAACGTTTTAAAGTTATTATTTATAAAAGTAATTAAAAAAAATATCTAAATATGTAATACTTAAAAGAAAAAAGAAAATTTGACTTCATATTCCTGGAATCGAACCCGGGAACTCTCGAGTGCAAACTGCAAATATGGGTTTATTGTTATAAAAATAAATGTTTAGTAATAATAAAATGTTCTTACCTTTAAATATTGTTCACATGTTGGGCGTTTGAGTTATATGAACTTTTTTAGTCTTCGTAACGGGTTTCACTTTATTTCCCATATTTACCAATTATAATTATTAACTTAATTTAAATTAATCTAAATTTAAAATATTTTATATTTACACGAAAGAAGATATTTATGAAAGGAAGAATATTTATGAATATGAAACAATGAATTTAAAAATAAAATTATACAAAAACATTAAACAATTAAGCAAACAGAGCGACACGTCTGTATGGCATTGGGCCTCGGCCAGCAGTGTCGGTAGTGCATATTATATATCTCAATTTTATATTTAATAATTTGAAAACTAGATTTTGTTATCATTGTAACACTTAAAACTGTAAGTATGTACTTATTATATACTTACTTACTTATATACTTACTTACTGTTACTCCTTAACACAGGTTATTCTGTAACCTAGCTAGGAGAGCAGAGCTACATCCACTAGATTGAATATAATATTTTATAGATAGTACAAACGATCTAATTCCTACCCATGTACTACTATCACTTTATATAAATAAAGTTTATTACTATTATTATAATTATATAAACGGGTGTAACCTCGCTACTCAGTTAGTGTTAAGCCTTACTGTCGTTAGATGGCGCTCACATTAATTCTGTAAATGTGTGCGTGCATCACTCGAGGTCACTTGGCATTGGCACTTGTAGTCCTCTTAACAAAACAATTTCACTCTTGTCTTGAAAACACCCATATTGTAATGAGATGGAAAGACAAATCCTGGTAACTTATTTCACTCCTTTGCTGTAGGCATGACGAACGATGTAGCAAACCATTTGGTTCGAGTATACGTGCACGTCTATACAATATCATATCATTGAGGCCAGTAATGAGGCTACGAGGCATTTAATATTAGTATAATATGTACCTATAGTTAGTTGGTGTTCATGGGCTGCAGTTGCCACGTTCGTAAGCCTGTTCTTTACTCCATGTTAAATTATTGAAAACAAAAGGCCCGTCTGCGTACAAAATAATTAATGGTATTTGGTTTGAGCAATGTTATTTTTCAATAAAATAAGGGTGACAAACTAAGACATAGTCCACCTGATTATAAGTAGATGCTGTTGCCCATAGACATCTACATTTATCCTCGATTAAGAATAATTAATGTACAGATGCGTTGTCACTCCTGAGGACTGAAATGGAGTGCCCCGTATCACAGTATGTAGTAAAAATTCTCTAAACTCACTATTCGAAATACAGCATCAGCATTAAGCTGTCATTTTACGCTGGTATTTTGTAAGGCCGTTGTCCTTCCCCGATCGGGAAGACCTATTCGTGCTTCAACCATAATATAGCTGCAGCATGGCTCTTCTACCTATAAAACGTTATTTTTCCTTTGAGACTTAAGCAAACAATTAAATGTATTATAACATAAATAACATATATATGCAGTACTCAAGACCGAAACGGTTCAATGCGATTGCCAATATTTACGTGAATGACACTCATTTACACAAAGCGAACAATCAACAAAGATCGTTCTCTACAATTGGAGCGCTTATCAATTTAAGTGGCATTGACAGCAAATGATAAAAAAAATTATTGATGGCAACTGACAGACATGGCGTTAATGGTTAAATTTTATATTTGTTAATTTTTTAACTCACAGGACTCTTGTATTAAAAATCTTATTAAGCTAAACAAAAGAAAAAGTTTATTAATTCAATATTTACAATGATTATTAGATATTAATATACTCTTAATATAAATGTTTAATATTTTCTGCCTTCCAAATGATTTTGTTATTTTTTTATTGATGTTTTTATTAACTAGACATGATTATTAATTATATTTTATTAAATTGTTCCGAAACATTATTTGTACGATAAAGTGTTTGCGCAATAATTACTATAATTATGTTAATATTATATTAATATAATTATGTAATTAATATTGCCAATTTTTCGCCTCCTTCACATATTTAAAACGATCCCACAACTGTGTTACGTCTCGGCATCATAAAAGGTGAAAATTAAACTCTTAACTAAAATCTTATATGTGTAAATTACACTAAATAATATAATAATTTAAAATAAAAAAAATTTGTACAGCCGACTTCAATATAAGTTATTAAGAATATCTCAAAAACTATTAGTCTAACCTTAATCAAATTCATATAGAACCACACGAGAAGTATCAGCTTTTATATAAAAAAGAATCATCGAAATCGGTTCACCCAGTAAAAAGTTATGAGGTAACACACATAAAAACAAAAACAAAAAAATACACTTGAATTGAGTACCGTCTCCTTTTTGGAAGTCGACAGATCCCAATTTCACTACATATTAATTAACTTCCATAGTATTTATTTTTCCAACTATTTATATAAATCCCTTGTAATATTTTGATGATAATGTAAACTAAACAAAATAATATTAAACTGACGTGCAATCGTTTCGTTTCTCGTTTAAGTTTAATAACAACCAATATTTCAGCGAATAGCGTAACAACAAAGTATATAAAATTAACATTAACCCTATGTGTTAAAAATATCAGTTTGTGCGGTTTAATAAAAATATCACTTCAAAATATTTAACGGCAAACAATTTAATAATTATAATTATGATAAATTTAACCACAAGTTCAGCATGAAATATTGGATATAAGATTAATTTTATAGCAAATAATTATTACAACGCTTATTTTTAGAAATGTGAAGCCTAAATTAAAATCAAAAGAATACACAATACATGTATTGATGTTTTTAAGGAATATTTTCATTCAAATAGCTTTGCTTTGTGAACCGCCATCTACACCATTCTACCGGTATTAGACAAATTATCGAACGAAAATTTATTGACTCTCAAGGTGGTACGTAAAAAAGACGCCAGATGGCATAAATACGGCTAATGTAACAAAATTATAAATCGGTAAGGTAAGAATTCGATCGTGGATTGTTTTAAATTGACTGGAATATGATAATTTTATTCATTATGGTCAATTTTATTTATTTAATGAATTTGTTAATTTTTTAACTGTTTATTTTAACAGTTAAAAGATATATTAACCATCTTTACAACTGTAACTGATGCGCAGCGCGCCGTGCATTGACATTCAAGGAAAGCAAATGACAATCGTTATTTTCAATCGTGACCGCGCGTCCTAACATGGCGGACGTGCATGTTTTGGAACCAGGCGCTAGCAACAAATCAGAACGCGATTTTGTGTTATATCTTATTTCATTGTATAGGGAGAGTCCTGTGTTATGGGACACTAAACGAAAAGATTACGTAGACAAATACAAACGATCAGTTGCATTACAAAACATTATCAGATCTCTACGGATTTATAAGCCGACGTACACGGAAGAGGAATTTAAAAAGAAAATTAACACACTACGTACCAATTTCAACAAGGAAAGAAATAAAATATACAAAGCAAGACGGTCTGGTATCTCCGCTGACGATGTACCCCAGCCAACACTTTGGTATTACAATGAAATGTTGTTTTTGACTAACCATACGAGGGTTATATGTAAGACTGAAAGCAGTGAGGTGAGTACCTCAACATATTTTTCGTTGCACACATAAACTTCCATTTGGCACGATTATGACACACCTCCCTCGCTTCTTTGTGCATATAATATATCAACGTGCATTTTTTTCGGTTGACCTATTTACCTCCTTTTCATCAATATACATGAATATAGATTAAGGGTACTTTTTATTTTTCCTATCTTCAATATATCACCAATTTAGTTGACAATCTTTCATCATGTCCTATCTTTCATGGTTTTCTATTGTTCAATTGTGATTTATGTCACGGCTCCGACCGATTGATTGAACGGTAGCAACGCCAACTTATGCGAGGTGAAACAGAAACATTGCGTAAGGAAAAGGTAGAGCAGGACGAACCATTTCCATTTTCTGTGAATAACGTTACTATCAGGTACTAAATATTTTCCTAGTTATTATTTGTATAGTTTGCTTCAAGCTCGTCTTTATTTGCTTGTCATTCAAAATATAATCGCAATTGAATCAAAGAAAAGAGAGAGTATGGCGGAGTTTAATAATGCTGAGATTTAATTAGTCGTTTACTGTATGTATAAGCGATTGAACCTTTGTGTTTCGCCTCGACTTTGAAACACTTCGACTCTCTAAAGACTGATTAGACGATGATTTTTGAATCCAACTTAGTAAAGTGATCCTTTCGACAACAATTCTTACTTGTCGTTCAACTGGATTTGTTAATTAATTTTCTTAACCTTTTCCTTATTTCCCCTAAATAATACACCTTCTTAATTTCCTCTAAATAATACTTAATTTCGTCATAAACGCAACATTAAGAAAATATCATATGAAAGTAAAATTTAGTCAAGTTATTCGTCAAATAAAGCCTATCGGACGATTGAACAATTTAATTTTTTTTCTCCCTGTCGCTATCTATTTGTTTATCATTTATATAGACCTAACTAAAATTAAATACACTTTGTACTGAAACCGTAAACGGTGTCAATCAATGTTCTTGGTTCCTGCTATAAATATGACCGACATACCTATATAACAAAAATGTAATGTGTTTTTGGTTGAATAAATTTACTTTATTCTATTCTATCTAAGGATTTAAAAATCATCCCTAAAATAATGAAAATAAGTATTGAAATTAAATAAAAATATTAGTACAACACGTATTTTCTATTCATCGATATATATGTACTACGCACTACGAGTAGATTTAGAATTCCGAACTTTGACTAAGTTCAACTGAACTGTACTGCAATCCGTACACTAAACTAAATATTGCGAAAATTGAAGATTTTTGATTTCCATAAGATAATTATTATTACATTTTATTTAGAAATATGAAATATAAATATTTAGAAATATATTTAGTCGTGGTAGAGCCATGCTGCAGCTATATTATGGTTGTAGCACGAATGGGTCGGCTCGACCGGGGAAGGACCACGCTCTCACAGAATACCAGCGTAAAATAGCAGCCTAACGCTGCTGTGTTTCGTTTAGTGAGTGTAGAGAACCGGAGACCCTTTTTACTGGAAACGAGGCATTCCATCTTAGTTCCCACGGGTGACAACGCATCTGCATTTTGATTCTTAATCGAAGATAGATGTAGATGTCTATGGGCCACAGCAACCACTTACCATCAGGTGGACTGTGTGCTAGTTTGTCACCTTTATCCTATGAAAAAAAAAATGTTTGTTTAGGTTAAAATAAAAGTATTTTATATTAAATTCTTATATTTATTTTATATTAATATCTTATTTTATATTAAATTAAAGTCTTCGCACATACGCGACTCTACTATTTCCCGCGCATGCGCGAAGACATAGAGTAGCGCACAATTTTAGTTTGCAATAGCTTCTCTAGTACGTAGTACATATAACTCAATGTTTCTATTTCATCTTAACAATTACTTTATATCGATTTGAATTTAAAATTTCTCGTTGGTCTAGTTATCGTTGCGCTACTGCTTATCATATAGTCGTAGTTTCAAATCCTGTGTCGGGCCTAAAGTCAGTTATTGGGTTTTCTGTCATGAAATTGTCAGAAGCTTTAGTTAGAAACATGTAGGCATCACCAACTATCAACTTTTTGAAAGCATACGTTGTAAGTATTACTATGCAAAGTAAATCCGTTGATCACGCACCTGATCTCTACCGGTCGTGTCGGATTGCTGTCCAATCGGACTATGAAGTTAAGTCCTATCCTGCGCAGTTGCCTAGTGTCCGTTGAGACTGCCACTGTGATTGAAATTCTCTCCGGATGATATTTCGACATGCTTGCCACCCACCTACTAATTTCTATTCTTCTGCAGTTCTAGTTACTTTTAAAAATTCAGTGATTAGTACAATTATTGATTTATTTTATTACAGCAGTCGCCCCCACAACAAAAAAAGACGCCACAAAAGAGAAGCAAAAACACATCAACGGACGATTTAGTGAATAAAGCAATCAAATATTCCAAAAGATCTGACAACGAATCCGACATAATAGCAAAAAGTTGGGCTACCAAATTAAGCCGCTTAGCTCACGACCAAAGGCGTTACGCTGAGAAAATTATAAATGACGTACTTTTCGAAGGCGCAATGGGAACATTGACAAGGAACGGGGTTCATTTCCTGCCAGCCAGCTCAACATGTCATTCTTTTGATAACTCCGGTGAATTAAATGTGTCACCATCTTCAAATTCATCACATGTAACTAACATGTCACCTACACCAGACCAGTAGCCTGAGACATTACCTCATATGTCTTAATGTCATTCATCTCTGTCTCTGTGGCGCAGTGTTGTTGCGCTAGAGGCCGCGGGTTCGAATCTCGCACGGAAAAAATATTTGTATGGCCTACAAATAATTGTTCCTGGATGTTTGTTCTCGTGCAATTTTTTTGTAAACTGCCTCCACGATACAGGAGAAAATCCCAGTGTGAGAGGTAACGTTTAAAAAAAAGAAATAAAAAATAAGTTGTAATCAAGAAGATGTTGCTGTCCATCTTCCGTTTATATTTCTCTGTGCTACCTCGGGATAATGTGTGGTACTACACCGCTACATCACACCACACCAGCTCCAATAATAATAGACAGCTCCGTGGTTGTGGCCTTGTAGGCCGTGGGCCCGAATCCGTGACGTAACAACTATCTGTGTGGCTTACAAATAGTTCTGGGTTCGGATTTTTATTATACAGGTCATACATAACATAATTAAATTGATTTTACAACGTATTAAAATGACTTGTAAAATATAAATAAATGTTTTTTATACATATCTTTTTTATTTTATTTATTTCCATAGCATAATGTCGTATGTTATTTTGCTATGGGGACACGCAGCTGACACTGAAATTATATTTGTTTTACAGAAGAGGGCCATAAGAGCAATTTATAATTTAAAGCCTAAAGAGTCGCTGCGACAAAAATTTAAGGAAATTAATATACTAACTTTGGCCTCTCAATACATTTATGAAAATGTAATGTACGTACACAAAAATAAAAGAAGTTTTACAAAAATAAATGGTATTCATTCTGAAAATACTAGGAACAGACACAAGCTAGTAGTACCAGTTACTCGACTCCATCGAGTCAGTAATTCATTCTTGGGGCGATGTATACGCTTTTACAACAAAATTCCAGAAAATATACAAAATTTGAGCTGGTCAAAGTTCAATAACTTTATTAAACTAAGTTTGTAAAAAAAGGGTTATTATAATATTAAGGGACTTATGGATGATAATAACCCCTGGAAATGAGGTGATCGCTACCAAACTATTTCTAATTTGTTGTGTTGTTAATTTGTGTAACATACATGATTGTAAGCTGTTATTTAAAAAAAAGTCCTGCTGGGTTCTCCTAGGACAGAGGCTTTTTTTTCGAACCCGTGGTAATTAAACAAAAGAGAGACTTTCAATAAGTATTATTATTAATCTATATTAAATATAAAAGTATCTGTTTCTTATACGTGGTATAATTATGCAGCAGCAGTTATATACCTGTAGTTGTTGGACTTATGGGTCGGCTCGACCGTGGAATGACCACGTTCTCATAGATAATCTGCGTAAAGTATCAGCTTAACGCTGCTGTTTCTTGTATGGTGAGAGAAGAGAACCAGAGAACCTTTTTACTGGAAACGAGGCATTCCATCTTAGTACTCAGGGGTGACAACGCATCTGCATTTTGATTCTTAATCGGAGAGGGATGTACGAGTAGGTGTTCATGGGCCACAGCATCCACATACCATCATGTGGACTGTTTGCTCATTTGGCACCCTTATTCTATGAAAAATAAAACTGAATTTTCCATTAGAGTATATAAACCATTGAATTACATAACAATGACGGCTCCGTGGCGTAGTGGCTTAGCAATAAGTTTCAACGGTAGGTGCCGCAGGTTCGAATCCCGCACGGGTTAACTAATTACACGTATTAGTACGCCCTACAAATAATTGTTTCCGGGTTTGGATGTTTGTCCTTGAGCAATTTATGTTTGTAAACTGCCTCCATGATACACGAGGAAATCCTAGTGTGGGGGTAAAGATTAAAAAAAAATAAAAAAAAGATAATTAAATACACAATATTTATTACCACAAAAACTAAATCTAATAACTTAAATTATCATACAGTTTTATTAACCACGGTATTGTACCAAGAACGCTGGCTCGATATATTTCTTATCAATGTATGTGTCATCGCGTAAGACGTTTCCATTATCATTCCCAAGGTACGGGAAGCAACAACACAAGTATGATTTAAGGCCGGTTGCACGTCCGGACATCCAGATCTCGCACACTATCATAAATTTCGCTTCTGCAATCATTGAAGTAACACGTACTACGTACTACAAGAGACGCTGAGACTTGGTTGTTTGAAACACGCGTTAGAGCCATGGGTTCAAACATTTTTTTTTTATAGAAGATGCGGCAAACGAGCATGAAGCTCACCTGATGGTAAGTGTCGTCCGCCGCCCACGTACAACCGCAACACCAGTAGAAATGCAGGAGCGTGGCCAGCCTTTTAAAAGGGTTTAATCTTACTTAGTCCGTGCTAAAAGAAGGTACTCAGAGCACGCGGCTGGCACTGCCGCACAAGTTTTGTTTGCTTATGTTCTTGTACGTAGTACATAGTACTTTAATGTCGGCAATCCCATTTTTCACCAATATCTCGCAGGCATTTGTATTTTTCAACATATGTTGTTAAATATTCTAATAACATAAATTCCAATAAAATATAATATTTGGTCTTTTTCGTTAGTCTCATGCCTCAATACGTGCGTATAACGCGGGCGTTTGCTTTCGGAATTTGTAATGGTGTGCGGCGTCTAATACTGCAAAATGTATGAAGATGGAGAACACGTCTTACGACATTTTGACAAGACAAATTCCTGACGTGCGGTTGGCATGTATTCGACGAACGTTAACAGCGAATGTTCATACGTATAATGTGAGGGTTCTGGTACAAAATGTATACGCAGAGTGCCCTCCGTTGCGCATTTCTTTTTTCTGACAGAAAATTGCTTACTTTGAGCGGCCGGAAAGTCTTCTAACCATACCAGTGATTAATTAAAAAATAATAAAAATTTTAAGGTACCATTAAGTCTCGTGCTGACTCTATGGCTTTAAGTCAAAGTGACTGTGACAGCACGAGACTTGACGACATCTTAAATTGTTATATATATATATATATATATATATATATATATATATATATATATATATATATATATATATATATGTATATATAAATATATTCAATTAAATGTTATTACTTATTTCGGCAAGAATAATAGACAAAAGAATATAGATAAGAATATAATATATAACAATAGTAAAAAATTACCAGAAAATTCTGTATAGACCCTTACAAAGCCTGGTGAACCCCCGGTTCCGCTTGGGTAGGATCTATTAATATATATAAAACCAAGATCATGACATTGCTCTCTTAGTTGTGAAATTTCATTATAATCGCTTCTGGCATTCCGAAGATAAGCAAGGACATACAGACGAACAGAGAAACATTTTAAAATGGCTACTCTTCTCTTAATAGCATACACTTAATCACCTCAGCTCAACTTAAGGCAGTTATTACACACAGACACTTTTATTTAAGTCCACAGATTACAAAATAAAAAGTACTCAAAACATTAAAACGTTAGTAAAGTACACAATTTGGCGGGCGATCACTTTCAGGCAACCAAAGGCATAAAGAGATATGAGGTAGGTGGTGCAATATCAAACTTGTAACTTTACAAAAATGACGTTCAATAAATATGTATAAATTGAGCACACAGTGCATGTGATGGTAAGTGGATGCTGTAGACCATACACACCTACATCTATCTTCGATGAAAAATCAAAATGAAAAGCGTTATAACCCCTGAGGACTAAAATGAAATGCCTCGTCTCCAGTAAAAAGGGTCTTCAGTTCTCTACACTCACCATACAAAACATGTCAGTATTGGGCTGCTATTGTACGCTGGTATTCTGTGAGTGCGCGTTCCTTCCCCGGTCGAGCTGACCCATTCGTGCTACAACCATAATATAACTGCAGCATGGCTTCACCACGTAAAAATATAAACATATAAATAAATAAATTACCCAATTCCTCAACAAAATAAACCTAGCAAGCTAACAACATAGCAAAGTGGCGAAGCAATCAGCTTTGCAGCGGTTTCTAACGGTTGCCGTTGAGCAATCAGTTTCAAAATAGGAGGTTCAGATGCCTGGGTGATCAGTAATCGATTGCTGAAAACAGAATTTGAAAATTCAAAACCGTTCTCGAGATAATCGTGGGACAGACGGACAGACGGACAGACATCGTGAAATCAATAAGTGACTTCGCAAGCTTCGCCACTTAATAAAGCGAAAAAAGCAAATATAAACTTAATTATAGTAGTAATTTGTCCTAGCTTGATTATATAACAACAGAAGCGAAAAAGTTTTATAAAATATGTTATTAATTGTTGGAATCTAAAGCTATACTCACAATTTAATTGTATACAATTAGATTTTTTTTTAATTCAAGAAATTCGGGTAGCTATTTCATGAGTACGTCTTAAAATATTTTAATAAGATTTCAGCTTTCAAAGCAGCACGAAAACGTTAAGATAAGAAATAGCTTAAAGTTTTGAAATGATAATCGAATCCTGTGGTTCAAGAAGCCGCGAAATTGTCCCGAATTTAATTCTGCAAAGATTTAAATGACTTACCTCAGTAGCCGACTAAAGAAAGTTCCGTAATGAAATCACTCATTTTTGCTACGTAAAACTTTGAAGGCTCCGTGGCGTAGTGGCTTGCAATGAGTAAAAAAAAGTAAGCTACTATAATTTTTAACTGACAATGCATTTTATTCAATTCAAGAATTTGTTATATTTAAGTCAATCACTTAATTAATTAAAATATGACTAAATTAATGACATTTCTATGTATATTAATTTCAATCTTATTTAATTTAATTATATTTATTCTCCCTTCGTATTGATACTTTTACATTATGGTTTTTATATTATGGTTGTAACACGAATGGGTCGGCTTGACCGGGAAAGGGCCACGCCCTCATAAAATACCAGCGTAAAATAGCAACTTAATGCTACTGTGTTTCGTATGCAGAGTGTAGAGAACCGGAGACCCTCTTTACTGGATACGACGCATTCCTTCTTAGTCCTCAGGGGTGACAACGCATGTGCACATTAATTCTTAATCGGAAAAAAAAAACATTGCATGGTGCATTCTACAATACTCAA